ATAATATATATATATATATATATATATATATATATATTTCGTGAAGTACTTGTGCTACATATGCCACAACACAAGTCACCATTACATATCGGTTTACTGTTCTGGATTAGAAATGTTCGCAATAGAGATGATTCAATGAGTATTGTATGAATTTAACATTATGGTTCACAAATTCCGTAACAGTTCATTTTTACGAATGGCTTGGATAGAAAAACCAGATCCATCCATATCCGCGATGTACCAAATCCTTTCCTGTGATATCCGCATTTTGAATAATGTTCGGATGTTTTTCCTAATTAGTTTGTAGAAATGGTCCTTCAGTGCTTGAGTTGGTTCCTTTAGAATACCTATGTTTTAATGTCTTTTCCAAATAAAATTTTTCAGAAATCAAGTTTTGTTTTCTCTCCCCATAAAAATTTCTGCCCAGATGAAGTTTTTCGTCGCAAATTCAATTTTGAACAATAAAAAATTGAATTTCTGGTAAACCTTAGGAAGATATATCAAAAAAGTATGCTGAAATACCAAAAAACAATGAGATAAAAGTAGTCTCTTTTAGGGCCATATGCTATGTTGTTCTATTCTGATAACTTTGTACAAAGGATTGAAAATCAGTTATTTCGACTCAAAATTACAAAATATAAAACAAACTTGTCAGACTTCCAACACAAATAATTAAGCAATATAAAAAAAGAAGATAAGAACTGAAGATTAGGTCGCAAAGAAAATTTCACATTGTTGAAATTTAGTTTACTTTTAATCAAAAAAGTAAGCAATAAAATGATGTTTGAATTTCTTATTTCGTCGCGAACTTGATACTTTACAGCTTTGTTAGTTTTAAATCCTAAACAATGAGAACGAAAATAAAACATTACATGGAACTCACTTGGCTTATTATTTGCATGGCAAAAAGTCATTAAAAAAAGGATAAATGAAAAGGAAGTAGCGCAGCCCCAGACTCTTCAAATAAATTCCATGCTAAAGACTTGCAACAGGAACAAGAAGTTCGTGCAGTGGCCACAGTGAACTAAGCCTAGCGGTGATATTTCTTCTTCACATTCAGCCAACCTTTCGAGAATTGCCGTTAGCACACATTTGGAAAAAAAATTTTATTGAAAATACTATCATAAAACGATAAAACTATATTCATTTAAACTGTTTCAGATACTATAAATAGGTAAGTAACCCTAAGAATGATATTTCCCTTACGAAAAAGTGCAAAAATATTTTTTACGTACGAAAATTGTAGACTGAAATACTTCTGAAGAAGAAAACGGGAATTCAGAATAGTCCGTGGAGATTTGGGTGATGGCTTACTGTAAAA